CCACTGTGTTACGATGATTCGAGCGACAGTCGTGGATCAGGGGATGCGGAATACTATCCCCCGGAAAACTACCCCCCCAGGTGAAACGTGACGTCACAAAATCTGCCAACTAACCAATATGGAAGCCGTGTCCGCGACTGGAATACTACCCCCCCCCCCTAGACAAATCATGCTATGTAATTGTAATTTTAATTCGAGTAATTCTATTGGATAATAGAAAAGTCATGTGGTGAATATAAAACAGAATTTTGAAATGTTACAACAAGTTTGGTTGGTTAGGTTAGGTTAGATTAGAAGTGTTTGTCAACTAAATTTGAGTGTCCGTGACTGGAAAACTGCCCCCCCGGTCTGTGACGTCAATATGACGTAGGAACCTGGTTGGGGGGTAGTTTTCCGGGGGGCAGTCTTCCGGCGACCCGTGGATCACAGTGGCAGTGGACGACTGCAGACTGCACGCCGACATCTAGTCGTTGTCATTCGACTATCGGTGTGTGGGGCAAGAGGTGTTCATATCATTGGTGGGCAAGCGCTCATACCATCATACCAATGGTTCACTTTTGGAAATTGGTCGAGCGACCGAGATCGTTGTGTGGGTGAGGGGCCGAGTTGGCAACTAAAATTTGGAAAGTGTAGATTATTACATACGAAATTATCAATATTAAAAAATAAGGTTAGTAGGTTCTCTTATTAAATGTTTAAATTGTTTAAAAATTCTATATCTTTAATTTTCCAATTGGCTTTAATCTTTCTTATTGGTTACTAGCAGAGTACCCTTCCTTCGCACGGGGTTGATGCATGTTTGATCTGTGCTAATTGCAATCTGAGCTACCCTTGCAATGTGAAATCTACATGGAGTATTTAAAGTTAATGATAGAGATAGGTAGCAGCTATACCTGGATTAGAAAACATCATCATTAAGGGTAATCCAAAATTTTGATTTCAAAATATATACACTTCTTTTTAATGCTTTTAGAATTAAGTCTAGCTGCCAAAATACTCTTGTTATAAATAAGTGCCCGCCACAAACAGAACTAGTTTCATAATTTTTTGCACTCAGAAAACAAAACTAAATAAAAAAAATCTGTAAACTTTGTCATTTTTTGAATCCATTGGACCTCGCCGACAAGTTTTTGTAAACTTGACGAGGACATTCATGTAATATCTTAAATCAATAAATATATGAAAAAGCAAATGGTGAACATTACTTCTCTTTAATTAACAAAAATATACAACTATCCCTTTGTAAAAAAAACTCTTTTACGTTTTAAATTGTATGATACAATCCAAACACTTGCTAAGCATGTAGGGCCTACTGTATTAACATTGTAAACAAAATATATCAAAATAATATTCAAGTAATGTAAACCTAAGGATTTTACTACTTTTTCCACAAAATCTTTCAATAAAATGATTCACATTAGCATTAGCTTACATTTAAATACTTACTTAGGGTAAGGATTTACTTGATACGACATGAGTTATGAAATCTACTTGCTTATTTCGTATAATTTAATTAATAATCCATTAATTGAAAAATTCTAAGAATAAATTAAATAACCCTGCCACATTGTTTTACAGAATATTATAGGCATACTAGCTGACCCGGCGAACTTCGTATCGCCTAAGTTATAGGTTTCCCCTAAGACAGACCGATGGAAAGAAAGTACCGTTACGTTTAATTTTCAAGATGATCTCGTTCGCTACGCTCACTCACCTTTAGGTTGGAGCTCGTTCGCTGCGCTCACTTGCCTTCAGGTTAGCTCGTTCGCTACGCTCACTCACCTTTAGGTTGGAGCTCGTTCGCTGCGCTCACTTGCCTTCAGGTTAGCTCGTTCGCTACGCTAACTCGCCTCCAGGTTGAAGTTCGTTCGCTACGCTCACTCACCTTTTGGTTGCAAATTAGCTGTTGTCATAAATGTAAAAGAAATAATAGTGCTGCACCCTGTTGGTAATCCTTGTAACTTTAATGCTATTGAACATCATAGAACAGAACCAACTTGTTTAATTGAAACAGCTGTTAAGATTCATTAATTCCATTTCTCATAGGGTTAACATGGGAAACTCCAGAGCCACTGGGGCGGAGCCCTTTTAAGAATTTCGAAACGGGAAATAGTTTACGTCCGATTCGCATACCTACAGAATTTACACACCAAATTTCATAACGATCGGTGAAGTCGTTCCGGAGGAGTTTGCAGACAAACACTGTGACACGAGAATTTTATATATTAGATTTAATTTTGTTAAACCAGCTGTGTGGAATTATGATTTAAAGTGCATTTGACAGTTAATAGAGATCGATGATATTGAGATGTCATCGGAAATTATCATAGGAAACATTGTGAGTTTTCTCATTGCAGCCATAGAGGCCAATCAATATTTAATTTTAAACTCTCCCCTCAGAACGTTGAAAGCCAAAGGGGCAAAGCCCTCGGCCAGTATTGAAGCGTGAATAGTCCTTAAAAGGATCATTGACTATATGTTTGTATGTAGCTATATGTTTGTAAAATAAGACCAATCGGTTCAGTAGTTTTTACGCTATTGAGTAACACACACACACATACTGACACCATTAGATTTTTTTAGATTAGATAATTCTAGTATACTTTAAACTACTCTCATTTGTACCTACTTTTTTGCATTTGACCATAATGTTTTAAAATTGAATATTATATACTTTTCTGATTTTGTAAGTAGTGTTATGTACATATTATCGTTGATACAAAAAAAACTACAAACGAGTTGTACAAGGTATTAAATAGAAAGTCTATTTATAAAATGTGTTTGAGCCGAATAAATTCTTAAGATTTTTAAATTCTATTATTACTGGAGGGTCTCTATTATCAGAGAGATTTTGAGGAAAAACATGTTGTTGCAGAGTTGTATAACAGAGATGTCTATATTTAGAATATGTTCATGATGCGAATAGGCTATAAGAAACTATTGTGACAGTTTAATTAATTTTTAATTTTTTTAATTAATTTAATTAATTAGATTAATTATTTTTTTAATTTTCATTTTTATAGATCTTTAACTAAATAAGCAAATTATGTTTTGGAAAATGAGAATTTAACAAAACATACGCTACATCTCCTGTATTATTTAATTTATACCATACTACTGTTAAAATTATTATTTAAATTGAAATTAAATTATTATCATTTGATCAGATTAAATTATTACTATCAATATTAAGTTATTTATCACCAATTAATAGGAAACTACTACAACATTTCCCCTTTAAAATTTCCTGAATGATCCCGCATCGTATTACAATAATCATAAGGAAAGTTTCAAACTTATTTTCATCGCTTTGTGATAGTTCTAATTTGTTGTAAGCGTCCTCTATTATTTATTACGTAGGAAGTTCGTACATAATTATATTCCAATTCGATTAAATACATTCTTGCTTTTAACAATTTTCAAAATATATTAGATTCAATTTATAAATTGGCTGTCTTCCACAAAGCTCGTACCTTCAATGGTAGAAGTGGTGTATCTCTTAGGCAGTATGACAAGTTTCTGAATTATTTTTCTATATAATTGTACTCTCTACTAACAACTAATTTTATTTGGGAAAAGGAAATCCATAAACTTATCATGACAGGTATGTAAAGCATTCAGTTTTTTTACCATTGACAAGTACCTTTATTTCGTTTCCATGAACAAATTTGCGATACTATACATACTGTACATACTATCATTGCACTTATTTACCTTGAGTCATGGTTAACTAGATACAAATGTGGCAACGGTCTACTAGAAGGCAGCAGTTATCCAGAAGGATACAAATTCGATTCCGAACAGCTCTGTCTAATGAGGTGAATTTTTATTGTTATCTAATACACATTTACATTGTATTAACAAAATACTGGTTATGTAGTAAGTACTGTTAATGTCGTAAGAAGGCATAGCAGTTATTGTTACGAAACATTGACAATAGGTGTTTCTAAATATTTTGTAATTATTGGCGAATCTTTACCGGGATCCAAATATATTAGGGTTTTCAGATCTCTGTTAACGATTTTTTAGGAAACAAAAAGCTACAGTTTAAACAAACATGGGGGTAGTTTGTGCCATTTATTAATTGGTATTATTTTTAAATTGTGTAAATACCTTAGATCCTTAGATTGTGATCAGCAACTAGTTTCGGTTCCTAATTGGAGCCATCTTCAGGCTGCACACGAACGTTCTATACTAGTCATCTTCTGTTGAAGCCCATGGAATTTAAAACATGTAACAGTACATTTCCTTCATTATTAAAATGTTTCAAGCTTTTTAATTTCAGGTATAATAATCAATCAAAACCCTTAGAATAGAAAACCAAGCACATGTTAAGCCAGGACCAGGAGGGTTTTGATAAAAAAAACATTACTTACTGTAATAGCTGTTAAGCACGATACATACATATTTAATATACTATAATATATGTTTTTATACATTTTTTGGCAAAATATTGTAATTTTACTCAATAGTAAGATTCACTTTGCTGCCTTGCAAGTGGTATCCAAACAATGATGCTCCATATCTCACCTTTGCAACAATAGTTTTACAGAATGTGCCAGGATGCGACAGAGCTTTTCAAGCACCGTGGCAAGAGTTACAAATAAACACACTTGCTACTCAATAGCTAAAGTAAATCTGCAAGACAATTAGGTCTCCCAAAGTTCGTAAAACAAAAAATCCCCTCGAATACTCACCACCCTTGAAGCAATTTTCTTCAAATTTGCCAATTTTGAACCGCCCACAAAAGCCGGTTTCTGCAGACGCTCAACCTGCGAACCGGTCACCGGCGTCTAACATCCCCAGAGTCTTACGTAACCGCAATTGAAGAAAATTGTTATTTAACGTTCCCCGTGAACTGTATGGACCTTTGTACCCTGATGTTCCGAGTTTATCAAATTTCGTGCAACCCCCATGCAACAACCGGGCAGTAAGTTGCAATTTGTATACTGTATAGTATGTAGTGGTAGGGAGGGGGGAGGGGGGAGGATATAAAGTTGGAAGTTGCCTTGTCTCTTCCCACTCTCTCAGTAGTCGTACACGGACACACACCAACACAAACACCCAACACCATGAAGCCTGAGATCACCACTGTACAAACCATCCAGGTCAAGAACGGATCGTCCGACAACAAAAACAGTGAGTTTCACTTATTTTAATTTTATATAATTATGTTTTAAATTTTTCAATCGTTGTTTTGTTGATATAGTCACAATTTGTTAATTAATAGTTTATTTGTGTACATTATTTAAGTATATACTTGTTGTTAAATTAAAGTTTTGTTAGGTTACTAAGTTTTTGTATACAGAACCCATAGTTTGATACTTGAGCCTCAGAATCCACTCATAAGATGATATTTAAAAAAAAATAAACATCATTATAATCTTTAAAATAATTGTGGAATTGTATCGTTTCATAGCGTATATTAATTCCCGGTTGTTCTTTGCAATAAAATATTTCACCTTAATACATTCTATACCATAAACAGTTTTCCTGTTTAGACTTCCTCAGTCAATGTCAATGATCACGGTTACATAACAATAATACATACCGGTACTTCTTACGTAACTACAATAAGTTTGATTTTAGTTTAACCAACCACTTATCAATTGGCTTAATTTAATTATTTCCCAGATGGACACTTTTACTATTCTATAATTTATTTTATTTCGTCTAAGTGAATTCAAAATGTAATTCATGGTTAAACCCTAGATTTCGATATAGCAATAGTGTAGTAGTTGAGCGTAGCGAAGCTCTTATACTATGCTCCTGCTTTTGTTTTACAAATACTCCTGATCGGCTGAAGCGATCTGCACGAAATTAGCACATTATAGTAACCAACCATGAGAAGGTCTAAATCTGAAATGGTACAAATCGGATCACAGGGCTTTTCCCATTTGAATTTAAACTGTTATAACTTTAAGATGGGCCTTATGGGTTAATTGGTCGCTATGACATTATTTTGCGAGATATAAATAAAAATGTAAACAAGAGTCGCAACATATGTTAGTCAACAAATAATCTTAAATAGCACATTACAAATACCATTCAGAGAAATAAATTTCAGAGGTTGAATTTATTAGTCAGCTGGGAGTGTTTTAGTTAGGTTAGCACGTAATTGTTGTTGATAACAATGGCGACAGGGTTGCCATGGTTACAGCTTCTGACAGTTTCCAATCAGCAACTCAAGGCCGGCCGGTTGCGGGACTGTCTCTCGAATGAGCTGATTGTAGGCTACTTTTAATAATGTGGAAAACTCGTTACTACGAGGAAAATCGGTTACAAGTTTGAACATGAAGTGAGATAGTTTATATAGACTTAATTTTGTTTACAAAAATAATGTTTGCCAGTTTACTAATTCAAATCAATCTGAATTCTTACTTTTTAATTTTAAAATATTTTCGTTGTTTATCAGTGTGTTTCAAAAACATATTGTCCTCTAATTTGAGACACTGATATTTACTTAAGTTTTTTTTTTTTTTTTTTTTTTTACATTTGGACTTTTATCTCATTATTACTTTTAATTTATATTTTGTATGAAACCAATTTCATTTTTCAAACAAATTCGAATAAAACGTCAAATAAATTATTTTGAGGTAATATTTAGTTGTATTATAATTCTGAATTAATTTAAATTTGTCCTCTTTCCGATTATATAGTAGCAACTCTTAGTAAAACCTTATTACGTAACGTTAAATACGGCTGAAGCTTTAGTGTGTGATTGAAAATACAAGTATTGAAATTAAAACGGTACTTTTAGGACAGTTAATTAAGTTGTTAAAATTCTTATTATATATTAATAATTATAAACATTTCATAATTACAAAATGGTTTCGCAGTTATTGCGTGAGTTAGTCCGAAATTAGAGTAGTGAAGTGTAGATATAATGTTACAATTGGAAATTATATGATAATAGTAATTACTTATGATCATAAAATACATACACATAAAACGTGACGGTATATAGTGACGGTGACGTACATTTTCATTGTAGCAAGTTAGTTAAACGAATTTCAGCTCCCTCTAGTCAAGCTTTTAGCGTTATCAAATCACATTTTGACACTTGTTTTTATTCCAACATTTCGCCTAAGGTAACAAAAACTCTTTAAACAATCAATATGGGAAAATAAATCATTTTATAATAGTTCACAATATAATGATATAACAATTATCAATTATCACTAATTGTACAGTAGTATTTTACACATGTGGTAACTGAATTAAAAAGGCTAACTTAAAAAAAAAACAGTCATAAGTTATAGTATTTTACGCCACACTACATTATTTTGACGAACTTCCCACGCAAGGATTCAGTCCAGAAAACAGCTGTTTGCCGCCAGCTTATTCAAATGGTGTTTCATTGCGTACTACTGTACTGTAATGAGTTTTGCCGGACACCAATCAGCTGATTATACTATATTTAGGTGGCAATGAATTGTTATAAACAAAAACATAACCTCTATTATAGAGGTTATGACTAGTGATTTTTAGCCCTTTAGTTGGTAAAAAAATATTAGGATTTGTATAGATTTAGTAGTATGGCGTAAAATATCGTACGTAAAGGACTGTTCACACCGGCGTAGCCAGACGTATTAATACTTTTTCGGAATACGTAGCTGACGTAGCTCTTAATGTAATTCATAGAGAGTGTTCACACCGGCGTATTAATACGTGAGCTACGGAAGCTACGGCGCTGCCACTACGCCGGCTAGCTACGCGTAGCTCGCATAGCCGAATACGCGCTTGCGCACTAGCACACCGGGCTGTCACCGCCACCCTCCCTCCACCTTATAATTAATTTATTAAGCGGTAAATGTTGGACTATAACACAAAAATTAAGAATCACTTTAAAAAAATCATTAAATCACTATAACATAACAACCTTAAGAAAACTTTATATGATCAATATAATAATACTTCATCATACGAGTACCTAATGTTCACTAACATTTTGCTTGTAAATCTCCTTATCGAAAAAGTCGTCTCTCTTAATATGGTTTATTATGGTTCATATTGTGGGCTGATATTTATGAAACATTAATGAATTTTTTTGGACATAGGCCTACGTTTTACTTACACCATAGAATATTTTATCATGTAATCCATGGATGAGCCAAATTATTGCATGTTTTCTGATAATATTTATTTTATATTATAATATAGCACAAGTCTACTATATACGGCCTAGAATTAGAGTGAAACATTTTTGTCAACATTAACTCATTAATCAACAGACTTTTCAGGTTACTATAAAAGCTGCAATTGATCCGTGACAATCTTAACTGAAATCCATAAAACGCTAATAAAAATAAAGAATAAAATTAACAAATATAAAATAATATAATAAAATAAACAAACAACAGCCGGCTCACCGGCTACGTAGCCGTCAGACGTAGCTGCGGTGTGAACAGTGCACGGGCGACGTATTAATACACCGAATACGTCTGCAGACGTCGGGCTACGCCGGTGTGAACAGGCCTTAACTCGTCCAAAATGTGTGTACCGGACTCGTATGGTAATCCCGTACTCGACTTCGTCTCGCACGGGAACGACCACACTCGTCCGGTAAACACTTATTTTCAGGACTAGTAACGTAATATACTATTACATAACACATTTCAATTTGAATGTTTGCCAAATGTGTTGTTGAAAATGTAACGATACATCAAGTGTGATGCCACCAGGATGCCACACAGCTGTTAGTTTCAATGGTATTGATTGTTGGGCCAATCTAGATCAGCTGTTTGCAATATCTAATGAAGGGACGCAATTGATCCATTCATACACACAGACCACCCCCTCTACCAAATACCCACTGTTAATTGAAATTCATATCTGTTTACATACACGATGAAAATGTCCAATTCATAGGTTTGCCACTAAACTACAGTGTGTCCCGTTTCCGTGAATAATCGCGCAACTTAAATCAAATTACAGAGCACATGATTTAATACATTTTAAATGTATAGAGTATAGATTTGTAATTTGAAAATTTATCTTTTTCTGTACACTTATTCATGTTGAAACCTTGATAGCTGTATTCTCTAAAGAATATTCATTTTTAGATACATTTTATTCCAGCTTCATGATAAGAAAAAAAACCTTGCAAGTTGAAAACTATTGTTTGTTTATAACAATGATTCTAAACAGTGACTATTTATTTTTATAAATATAACTGTGATGAACAAATAATCACATTATTTCTAAGTTTAAGTAGTTTAAGGATTTCAGTTCAGTTTTAGATTTCCCTTGCAAAGAGCAAATGGCTCTTGGTTTCAACCCGTAAAAGCTCTTTCCTCTCTCTTTGAAGGATTTCACCCTTCAATAGAAATCCCATTTCCTTAAATGGTGATGTCTTGCTCGGTGTCGACGTGACCTACTCTGCTTATCACATAAAATAATTAAAGTTCCGGGATGTATGCATTATAAACGATAATGGAATTATAAAGAAAAGTATTTTATATGTAAACTAGGACGAGTTATGAAGGAATTAAGGGTTTTTATTTAAAGGATTAATGCGGTAAACTTGTGAAAATATTTAACGCGATCATCCTACATGTATCCTTTTGAAATCATCCTGGGTGGTAAATGATTATTCTCACACATCAGGGAAGCTTCAGTTTTTAAATATACTACTTTACATACTGCACATTTAAAATTGTTATGTACCGAATGTATATTTCATTAAATATGTCTTAATTAAGTATTGTTTAAAGGCAACACAAATTCAAAGGGAGAAATAAATTTGAACTAATTCAGAGGGTAAACCAGGGAGAGAGGGCCAAACCAATAATTAACCAATACAAACCAAATTTTGTTGTTTCATTAACCATTTCAAAGCATCAGTATACTTGATTAAAATTATGATATATATTGATTTTAAAGCATTTATAACACGATTCCCTACCTGGACCACGGTATATTATACTCTTATATACACATTGGTATTTGAAAGGAAATAGCTTGAACATACTATGAAAACGTTTAGCTAACAAAAAAAGTTTATACTTCAAAAGTTATATTTTGTTATCATCTTCAATAGCACAACAAAACGATTAGGTTAGTGTAACATTTTCTGCACAGTGCACACGCAGGTCTGCTGCTATTCCACCTGTTCACAACCCGTTTGCTCAGGTGGG